TGAAATATCGCGATATTTCAGTGTATCGATATTTTCTTACACCCCTAGGAGACAGGTGGGACTGACAAAAACCTGCTGATGTTAGCTTGTTCGTTAGCGTTTGTCTGTTTCTGACTTGATCAAATCTTTCAGCTCTGCTGGAATTCAGTTTGATYGTGGTGTTGTCGTGTTTTTGCAGGTGGACGTGTTCGCGTACGGGATTATCTTGTGCGAGGTCATCGCGAGGATACAGGCCGACCCAGACATCCTGCCGCGCACCGAGGTATACGTTTGGCATTTTCCGATGCGTGTGGATGCTTTTGTACAGTGCCCCGAGAAAACATTTATTATGAATCGGCGCAATATGAATGAACCGAATTAAATTGTAATGCAGCAGTTTGCCGAGGAATTCATGTTAAAGTTGTAAATTAAATTTTTTTTGTGTGTCTGGAGTGAGTAGAGCGTCTTGTACTGGTATTGCCCAACAATAAGAGCAGCTTGGAAACATATTTGCCCTCATCCAAGAGACTGCAGTTAATCAGAAATTGCCCAAACTCGATGATGCAACTCCTCCGGTCTTGACAAAAACACTGTGGGGGAGTTGGAAATGAAGATTTTTAAGATAAGCAAAAAAATTAGATGAAATTCTACTCTTAAAAATAGTTCCCACATGACTGTTTTGCAATCTTCTGTGTCATAATAACTTTATTTAAAAAAAAAACGTGTTGCAACATACCACGGCAGAATTTGAAAGCGAGAAACGTGTTGAATCTATCACTTTAAAATCTTTCTGCTGGTTGTTATGATGGTAAAACAGGAAACTTCCTAATATATCACAACAGAGCATTTAAATAAAGTGATAAATGTTTGAGTGCAGTGATCGTCTYTGCAGCTTACCTACTCCTGCAGCAGACATTTGTTCAAAAAATTTTGTTTTAAACTAGAAAAAGCAACAAAAGCTAAGTGCAGGAATAGTTTGTGTCTAAGGAGCAGCTCACTGCTGCTAAATAATACAAATGTATTTGCTTTTTGTAGCAAAATTCGAATGCGCAGTAATGTGTTAAAATACTCATTTTGTTGGTAAATGACCTTTGCAATCAGGAGAATGTCTCCCCCTGGTGACAGTTTAACTGTACTGCAACTACAGCTTCATACTAAAACTCATGAAATGTAAATTGTATGTTTTTTTTGTTTTGTTTTTTAATTTAAGAAAGTATAAATGTATTATAACCCATAAAATGTATTTTATTTATTTAGAATTTAAAGTCGAGTTTTGATTGAATTTGTTCCAGGACTTTGGTCTAGATGTTGAGGCTTTCCGGCTGATGGTGGGGGACTGTCCACCCGACTTCCTAGAATTGGCCATTGCTTGCTGTAATGTAAGAAATATTTTTTTAACACGTACACCTTCACAGATGTCGTTTTTGTTCTGACTTTGCAGCACACTGAAGAAAAACAAAAGTTATTTATTTGCTGCTCTCGTCACATTAATGGGAGGAACAGTCTTACAAGTTCTTGGTTCTGAGACGACGTAGATTGAAATCTCATGAATCTGTTTGTGTTTCTGATCAGATGAATGCAAAACTCCGTCCATCTTTCTCTGGAATCGTAGCAGAGCTGGAGAAGAGGAAAGCTGAGAGAAAGCAAAGGGATGAACCACAGATTATCGGTGGGATTCTTTTACATTCAAATCTCCAGAATTACAGTGAATCTCTTCAACACGGTTTTGTTTTTTTTCTCCTATAAAGTTGCTTCTCCAGTCGTCGGCCCCCTTCGAAGGCAGTCCCTCGGATTGATGTCCGATCCCCGTCTCTCCCGCAGCAAGTCCGACATGCTGCATCCTGCGGACGCGCTGCCTTGTATAACTTTGGCACCTCCCACTCGCGTCAACCCCTTTTCCCAGCGGGAGGACCTAAAGGGCGGCAAGATCAAGCTTTTTGACACGCCCAGCAAGTCGGTCATCTCCCTGACCTTCACCCTGCCTCCGCCGCCAGACTGCAMCGACGTTCCGGGTTCTGACGACGACGTCGACATGCCCCGGAGGCACCGACGCTGCCACTCCCTGCCCTGCACGCCTCCGCCGCACCTCACGTCGGCGCCGAACACCGCGCTCACCGAGGAGTCCGAGACGGACCACGTGAGCCGGGCGGGGGAGGAGGAGGACGGTTTGTTGGGGGGCGATTCGGGTCTCCCAATGTCCTTTGAACCTCTGTCCATGGACTTGGAGGGGGAGGAGGAGCCAATGGACTGCACCAGCTCCCCGGACTCGCAGGACCTCGCCTCATCTCCTTACACCAAACCTCCTCCTCCTCCGTCTTGCTCCTCGACTCCCTTCCAACCTCCCAAGCCTCCCTTCTCAAACGGCTGGGGGTCCGCGGTCTCCAACGGGCCCCCGTGCCTGCCCCCGCTCTCCAGTTTGGACAACGGTCGACCGCTCAGCTGGAGCGCGGCCCCCGACACTCCCTCCACCAACAACAACGGCTACCACACCCCTCCCAGCGACCCGGCCGGCTCGTCTCCCTTCGGCTCCGGCAGCGGGCACTCCCTAGACCAGGAGGAGGTGATCTCCTGTCCGGGCTGCTGCCTGGCGGGCCTCCGCTTCCCCTCGGTGTGCCTCCGAGCACCGCCGCGCCGAAACCCCTACAAGAACTTGAACGCGGACCACGCAGCCTCCCGCGGGCTGCTGTGCTCGGGATCCAAGGGCCTCCCGCCCTCCTCCACCCCCACAACCACCAACACCAGCCTGGAGCCGGGACTCACTTTGCCGGGGCCGCAGACATAAACCGGTAAACCGTGTCTCTCTCTCTCTTCCCTGGAAATTAAGCGGGTCTTCTTAAAATTTGCACAGATTTTAATGCAGCAATACTCGACTTGTTTTCCAGACACACTTTTTTTCTTGCCCTGGGGTACTCTGAGTCGTCTGCATGGGTTCATTAAAATACTGTTCAGACTTAAAATTAAAAAAAACAAAAAACAAAAAAAAACAGGCTGGCTTCCTCTGGGAAGCTATCAGACAAGAACTGAGCTGGTGACGCCCTCTGCTGGACTGAGGGCGCTCTAACACGTGACGTCGGCCATGGATGGAGATTTTGACTGCCCAGAATAGATAAGCATGTAAACACTCCAGTTTGGGGCTGAATCCTGTATATTTACAGTTGTAAAGATTCTTATGACAGATGATACTGATTAAGCTAATGAGGAATGTTCAGCTTAGTATTAATACTGTTGCAATGATTTCTCCTTTTTTTTGTTTTGTTTTGTGCTGCTTCTGAATGAACAGGCAGTTTTGCTTTAATGTCTTTAATTATTAAAGGTGTATGGTGCATTACAGAGGATGTTTGAGGATTAGGAGTGTGAGTGATTCAGTGTGTGAGGCTGTGTGTGTTCTGTACACCATTCTTATTATTTTTGTTGCTGTATGATCTCTGATGGCCTGTCTGGTTGGCCTGTTTAAGCACTTCAACTGTATTATTATTGTTATTAAGGAAGCTGTTTATTGTTTGTTATATTTGGGAATGAATGGTCAAAGACCTGCTTGAAAGATGTACAGATTCTTATTATTTAAAGATGGCATTGAATAAAAAGATAGAATGAACTGAACGTTTTTTGTTTTTAAATGTTTGTTTTTCTTTACTTTTCAGACTTGACTGATACATATCAAGCAGAATTCAGGTCCCGTCTATAAAGGGATTTTTCTTAACTATTTTTAAATTGTTTGCAAAGTTTTTTATTTTGTCTGTTAACTAGAAATGCAGAGCCTTTCAGAAATGATTATACACACATGTCCACTATCACGCTTTTCTGTAGAAACACAAAGAAAAAAGAATCCGTGTTTAATGATTTATCATTTTTGTTAGAACATAGATGGAGGGGGAAAATTTAGAAAATTTCAACCCCCAATCCCGGACGAGCCCCCAAATATGTTACGTCCCGGGTTCTAGGATACCCAGGACGCACAACATATACAGTAATGCCCAGACACAAAGGTGTTTGTAAAAAGAGCTCAAGATTTATTGTACGGACAAAACAAAGGAAGCCCCACTTCAAAACAAAACAAAAAGGAGGGAGGAAACCTGAACCAGCCAGCAGTTGACCGTCGGATCAGGGCAACCTCCCCTTGCCCTCTGGTCCAGTGTCTCAACCTACAACCAAAAACCAGAAAAAGAGGGGCTGGCAACTCTCAGGCCAAAACCAGGTATCTGCAAGGAGGAAAGAATGGAGTGGCGGCGAGGCTGGAGCGCAGGACTAACAAGCAAACTTCTCCCATCAGGCCGCACGCTCATCTGTCAGGTGGAGCTCATTTCCTTTTATTATCCTCCCAGCCAATCAGCTGAAAGGAGAGGACATCAGACAATTATGTCTTATCTTAATTATGTCTTCCTCTCTGTATTGTCCCAGTAGTTAAAAAATTAATTTAAAATAATTGATATGRGGTATTATTCTTAACTAATGCTAAATTTTAGCATCCAACCCTGCTAAGCTAAAGATAGTGCCTGTTGTATTAGCATTTAGCTTTGTTAGCGAATATTAGCAGTCTAGATAACTGATTAGACACTTGCTAACATGCAAAGAAGCTGCTATCTGAGCAGACATTAGCTAACATGCCAAAAACCTGCATAGCTAATGTCCATGTTAGCATACTGCTAATACATCAATGTTAGCATGTTGCTAACATTTAAATATATCTATAGTAGCATGTTATGCTAGTTTGCTTTTTGGTAGACACACTGAGAATTTATGTTTTTTATTAGTGTATTAGTTTGTGTAGAATTTATCTTACTGATAAACTTTCACAAAGTAAAACATCTATTTATTAGCATTGCAACATGTAGCATTAATGTGAGCATTTTATCAAATACTTTAACTTTAGGTAGTATTTTAGTGGTGTTTAATGAAATGGCATTACTGTTGAATATAAAATATTGTGAATGTGAAAATAATATTTTAGGTTTTTGTACAAATGCTGTATTGTAGTTGAGAATGGGCTCTTACGTCAAGGAGGACCTTCGTTTTCCAAAGACCAGGATTGGTTTATTGACACCACAGAAATATGTATCGACTATATATTAGATTAGAATATATAAACCTGGAAACATTTCTTA